CTTCATCATAATCCGGCAATGAGGCGCAAGCGCGGCCAGCTCATGCTGACGTCACTCACCCCCTCCCCCCCCCCTCCCCCCATCGTCCTGGCTGCCCCCAGGAGCGCCGCCTCAAGCGCCTGGGGCTGATGGATGAGGACGGCGGCACCACGTATGACTCATTTTTCAGGGTGCGGGGCTCAAGGGGGGTGGGGTGGTGCAGTTGGTGAAAATCGCGGCTGTTGAGAGGCGGCTGCTTGGTGCGGGCAGTGCGCAGTGCGATCGGATTGGGCAGGCTGGCCATGTATCAGCGTGTGGGGGTTTGAGAAAGCTAAGCCGATCAACCACACAGCCTCGGACCCGGGCGCGGGCCCGGCGCCGCAGCACTCACCTGGCGGCCCGGCTTGGGTGACGCGCGTGCGGTGCCCGCTGCCTCGCCACCCCTGGCTGCAACCACCTGACTGAGTGACCTCTTGCTGCGACTCCTTGACTCAGGACGGCATCGCTTGACAATCCCGCTTTTGGGAGAGGGCGGGTGGCCTCGAGCCCCAGGGAGCTTGCTGCTAGCACAAGACTTAACAGCAGCAGCAAACGCGGCCCTCCGCCCGGCCCCAGCGTTGCCGACCCGGCGTTGCCGTGCTGGCGGCCCCGCGCGGCGCCTCCCTGCCACAACACCCGGGCGCTGTGGCTGGCCCTTTTCAGGGTGTCTGTTGCTGGGTATCTGTTGCTGTAACCCACCAACTCCGAGACATTTACAGCCAGTGGTGCTTGCAGTTTGAAACAGAGTACAGCGGCGATTGTTGACAAGAAACGGCAACGCCGCAACTGTGGATGTACTGATATCAGCCGGGCGCGCGCCCATCAGCTGCATTGTGCCTGCACCCCAGCTAATCCATCAAAATGCCTGTTCTTCAGACAAATCCTTCATCAATTCCGGGTCTGGCCGTTCAAAAGGAACCACAGCAACAACGGTGTCACGAGAGAAAAAAATGGAAATGCAACCGCGACTGCCGGCGGCACCAGTCGCCTCACCCTGCAGGGTCGGCCGACCTCGCCAGATCACGCCGCGGCCGCAGAGCTCCCCAGTCCAAAAATTAGCTCTTGCCGTAGCCGCGCCAGCCCTTCTCCTCCAGCCGCGCGGCCTTCGCCAGCACCGTGTCCCTCATGCCCTCTTGGTATGCAACCATCCGCCGCTGCAGCTCAGGGTCCCCCGCCGCGATGATGCGCGCCGCCAGCAGCCCCGCGTTGGCCGCGTTGCCAATGGCCACGGTCGCGACCGGCACCCCCTTTGGCATCTGCACTATCGACAGCAGCGCGTCGAGGCCGTCCAGGTGGGCGCCCGCGGGCTTGACCGGAACCCCGATGACAGGCAGCGGCGTCATCGCCGCGACCATGCCAGGCAGGTGCGCCGCGCCGCCGGCGCCCGCGACAATGGCCTTGAGGCCGCGGGTGTGGGCGGAGCGCGCGTACTCGACCATTCGCTCGGGGGTGCGGTGCGCCGAAACCACGCTGATTTCCAAGGGGATGCCAAATTCCTCCAGCACCTCCGCAGCCGCCTGCATCGTCGGTAGGTCAGAATCCGATCCCATAATGATGCCGACCAGCGGCCGGCTCTCGGCGCCGGC